AGCGACTGCTCYCCACAGGACCCATAACTGTCTCTACAAGGAACAGCCCCAAGTCTGAGCATTTCAGGGTCTTTAAAGRCAAAAACCACATCCAGGTTGATGTAGCTGTAAGCAAGCAGGGATACAGAGGCTGAACTGAGCAGTTAGGGAAACAATGCAATGGGTACATTGGTATTTCCCATGGGACTTTCCAGGTTGGTATAGCAGCAAGCAAGCAGAAGGGAAGTGGGTCAAAATGACCCTAGTTGAGTACARGTTAGGGAATGGTTACTAATGTCTAGACAATCAGTGTCTGACAGGGTACATTGCCCAAGAAAAATGGAAACCAAAGAGAGAACAATTTTGCAYTGTATAAGAATTGTCATTTTATGTTACCAAACATGCTAAGCTAAGCAACTATTGATAGGTATAGAGGCGGAGTGTTCCCATGGGAGAAGCATTTCTTATATGACATGGAGTCCCAGGGTAAAATGGAGTCTGTTTGGCCATTGCCCATAGAGCCTGGCCCATAACACAAGGAGTAGGCACTGCTCTCTGCAATTTTTCAGAAACCCAGACTCTGTCCATTTAATGGCTCCACCATTTCCCAGGGCCTGAAGTCCTCTCTTGATCTTCTCCAATTGATGAGACTCTGAGGGAAAAAATAAGACGATAGAGAAGGAAGTTCACTCAKAATTTCTTTGTCCCAGAGTGTCACACATCACTTCCATTCACATTCAAATTACATAGGCCATCTAAATACAAAGAAATTATATGTTGGCAGTTTGCCTAGAAAGAAATGAGCATAAAAATTGGAGAGTCCTAGCCCTGTATCTCCTGGTAAGATGAATGTGTAGGGGATCCAAACACATTGGTTATCTGTTAGCAGTTCACCTTTATCTTGGATTTGAAAATATACAGTTCTGATTACTATTGCTGCAAAACATAGTACCCAGAAAATTTATAGCACCAATCATTTTATTTATGAATTCTGTGGGTACCAAATTCAAAACAAGCATAAGTTTCTATACCATAATATATGGAGTCTCACCTGGGTGACTCAACAGTTATATGCAAGAGTCATTTAGAGAACTATTTGGTTCATGTATCTGAAAGTTGATGGTGGCCATCAGTTGAAAACTCAACTGAGCTGCTGACCTAAGAATCTACACATAGAACCTCATTGGTCTTGGACTTCTTCAAACTAAGGTTAGGTAATTTAAGGAGTCAGATATTTTACATGGCAGCTCAGAGTGCCAAAAATGAGTGCCCCAGAAAGTTAGTACAAGTTGTATTGCCTTTAACATAGCCTATGGCATAGTCTCAGACACTTGTGCTRTACTCTACAGGTTTAAGAATCCACAAGTCTACTCAAAGATAGAGGACCTAGATCCACATCTCAGTCAGAGTCTACCAAAGTCATATGGAAGAAGAGCATGTGCAATAGGAGATATTGTGGCATTCAATTTTGGAAAATATAATCTCCCACATATATAATTTTAGAATCACTGAATATCAACATTTATAGAAGAAGGTCAATTAAACTATGACCCACTGCCTATTTTTATAAACAAAGTYTTATACATATTACCAAGTTYGAGTGGTTGCAAAAGAGACCCTCYGACCTGTAAAGGCAAAAGTATTTACAATGTGGCCCTTTATAGACAAGTTTACTATCTCTGTGGGTAAAATATTGATTATGCATATGGGTACTGGAGTTAAACCACTAAATTTCAAATCTCAGTTCTGGAGGCAACTAGTTATGTAGTTTTGAACAAGATACTATCTTCTCTAGACTGCTATTTTCCTGTTTATATAATTGGAGAAACAATAGTCTAACATTGAGTTTGCGACCCTATCATTTTCATCAAATAATCCATGAAAAGGGTACAAATATATTCATAAATGTTAATTCTTGCTATTAGAGTTACCTTAAACTATCAGCTGGATTAACTATCCATCTACTATCCATCAACTAAGCCATCTACTGCAGATTTCAACACATCTAGGACACAGGAAGCCCATTTCACCTTTAATCGATCCTGTTCTATTAGGAATGTCTTCCTCCCACTAGGTTGAAATCTATCCTCTTGTAGTTCTATGCTGTCAATCCTGATACTATCTCCTTGGGATTCTATTAAATATCTCATCCAAATACTAGGTTATTCAAATATTTGAAGAGTTTCTCTGAATTTTATCAAGACTATCCACCTCATTTTCTTATAAGAATAATTAAATTAAAAATTATTAAGCAATGAAATGATTAAAACAATACTCAGTTGCTTTAATTGAGTTGAGGACTACTCATGGTATTAATTTCTATTTGATGAGATATTTATTAGTCATTGGGATCAAGAAAWCAGAAATGCATGTGGATGATATAGAGTTGGTAGGAGCCACGAACATTCTAAACTATAGAATCAACATCTGGAAAGATATCAAGAGACTGGAGTTATATAAGATTTAAAATAAAAAGGGCAAATATAGAAAGATGTTCCAGGATCTAAAATATCCACTGTTTCACAGAAGGAGAGGTTTGAAAAAAACTAAGTAGCACAAAATACATATCACCAGTGTACTAYGGATAGTTTAGGGCTCGAGGGCCCAGATCTATCTGTAGGCCTGAAATATTCTGCTGATTTCCAGGTAAATTTTAAGTATACTTGATATAGGGATTAAGCGCAGGGCCTAATGCATGCTAGGTGTGTGCTTTAYCACTAAACAACATCCAGGTCCTAATTTTATATACCTTTATAAAGGGAATGACCAAAGTGGGAAAAAACATGCAAGAAAAAGGATTTAAAAGAGCTTTATAGTGGGGTGCAGTAGCATGCACCTCTAGTACTAACGACCTGAAGAGTATTTTTTAAATAATTTCATTGCTTTCCCTTGGATTTCCARTTACCATATCACTACTTATTCAACCATTCTCTTTTTTTTCTGGTGTATATTAGTTATATATAACATTAGGATTCATTCTGACATGTTTATAAATGCATGGAATATATAATTTGCTCGAATTCAGACTCCGATACTTACCCTCACCTCTCTTTCCTCCCTTTCCCTGTTCCCTTTCCTCTACTCTGCTGATCTTTCTATTTATTTACAATTTTTTTGTGTAAAATTAGTATCTTGTGAATATACATAATTCAACCAATTTTCTCCTGAGGTAGCAATCCTCTTAGAGAAGTTGGAAAGAAATTTAAGTGATAACATAAACATTTCTCTTTATCTTTTTCAGGATTACACTTTAAAACAAGCTATCTGTAGTATAGCTTGATATCAGGTTGATACATAAATTTAATCAGTTAATATCTTTCTCTCTTTTTTTTTTTTTAAATGAGGTCTCACTATATAACCCKGGTTGGTCTTGAACTCATGAGTTCAACAGATAGTAGCTAGTACTTCAGGTGCATGCCACTGCACCCCACGCTAAAGCTCTTTTAAGTCTTTTTTTTTTAAGTCTTTTGCAATGAAAATTGCTAAAAATATAGGCTGTGTAAAAGCCTAGATTTGTGTTTTGATAATTATCCCTTTTATAGCACCTAGTCTGTTATGTAGAACCTGATAATATGTGTGTRTATTCATAGCAAAATATGACCAATTAACTTTTGTTACTATATATAAATATGGCATCTTAACACATACCTTGACTTTAATATTTTCTGAATCAACATTACTAGCCAATGATTATCTGTACCTTCAAAAAAAGATTAGTGGTGGTTAGAGATAAGAATGTGATGAAGATATTTAAAGTTAACACTGCCGTTTCAGAACCTAGATTGAACTTAAAGCATGAATGTGTTTRGGTTCCTTAACTCACTCATCCATTTTTAAAATTCCACTTTTTATATTTTAAGTTTTTGGACTGACACTTTAATTCATATCTTCATATGATTAATATCTTCATAGGATTTCACAATCAGATTATCTTAACAAATATCTATATAAATAAGAAGTCAAAGCATTAAGTGCCGGTTCAATACAATATTTGTAATAAAATTCTACCAGAATTTTTTTTAAAAGCCAACATATTGTGTACGGAAATAATATTTTACTGAACAAGTATTTTGGTTCTATGCTTTTATGAACCTAGGTTTCTAAAATATGGGTTTTTCAATAAATGGCTGACAAGGTTGTGGGGAGAAATAAACACTTGTACATTGTTGGTAGGACTGTACAACCACTTGGCTAGTATAACCAATCTGGAAAGAAGCATAGACATTCCTCAAAAAACTAGGGATGATGCTACCATGAGACCCAGTTATCCCACTCCTTGGTATCTTCCCAAAAGATCCARAATCAGCATACTATAGCAATRCAGCCACCTCAATATTTAKAGCAGTACAATTCACAATAGCTAAATTATRGAATCAACCCAGATTTAGAAATTGGATTTAGAAATGGATTAAGAAATTGTGAGATACACMCACACACAYACACACACACACACACACACACACAC